AAGAGAGTGATATCGTTCTTGTCCAGCTGTATCCCAAATTTCAAATTTTACCGTAGCATCATCGAGACAGACCTGGAGAAGAAAGTAGAATCATTGCGTGGTGAAAGCAAGTTGGTAAGATCGATTCCTTTTCACAGTGGAAATAGAATACAAAGTCAGAAAGAAAGCAGTCAAAAACAAAATTTCCGAGCCTCCCATCAATACATTCTCTTTCGCTTAAGTTTTTAATGCATTTTCCGTCCGCGCACAACTAATTTTGCGCTATTCGTGTGTTTTGCAAACAGGATTCGATCAATACGTGTGGCCTTCAATCTCCTGCCTCGTTTCGCAACTGCACCAAGGCAGCGGTATTAATCACTAGCCATAATTCAACTTGAAACCGTTAGCATCGTATCAAATTTCACCAACGAAATTTCTTTCATTGAAGAAAGAAACAATAAATTGGTATCATTTTCAAAATAGTAGGAGGAAGAGGAAAAGGAAGACGAAAAAAATACGCTGTATAGATGAAGATGACAAAATTGATCCTTATGTAAAATAATTATCACGCCACCACCTCAAGTTTTTAACGCGCTTATTTTCAGACATAAAGCAAGGCAAAACAACTAAAAGAAGGTAATATGAGCAATGGAAATGTGCTATCATATGGCAAACGACGAAAATCGCAAAGAAGAACTCTTCGTAACATGTTTATCTTTACCCATAAGACTACTGTTTGCCATAAAACAACCTACAATAAGTCGCCTAATTAATAAATTAAAAGGACAAGTGGTAGTTACCCGTGGGACAGAAAACTCTACAATTAATCTTGCTTCCCGGTTTTAAATTCATAATGAATCACCCACAAAACAAAACTAAATCTTTTGGGAACCAACCGTTTGAGTTAGGAAAGCAGCTCCGATTGTTGATTCCTGGTATTCGTGAAACTGACCTTTGACGAAACGTAGGACCAATGACGACTTTCCTGAAATGCGATGAGAATGAAAAAAGTATAAAAGTTGGTGACACAGAAATGTGATTCATAATCAAACATTGTAGAAAAAAGTGGACGATGTACCGCAGATAATGACTCCGTAAATTACATCTCGTTTCAAGGCACAAAGAGGGACCAATGTAAAGAGTTTAGGAAGTCATTCTACCAGGGGAATGGAAAAAATGAAAGGAACGTTGTCATCTCCCAATCCATCGTTCATCTTCCTCAGATTACTAGATAGCAGACCAGCCAGTGTATCCATGAGGGTGGGCGTCGAGATTACAAGCAGCACATCCTTTATTTCTTTCAGAACTCTTATAAAAAGACTGGGCACATTCTGATGGCGATGACGCCAGTTCTCCGAGAAACTTGAAAGCTTGTACAGATCACAATGCATTAACCCCAATGAGAACTCGAAACCTCCCAAACATTTGAAATGATGTTGCTTTTCTTGCCTTGCACTAAGTGTTTATATGCTCACCAAAGTAAAACAAATGAATCATTCGAACAATTCTGCTGAGAATGTAATTCTGGAAGAATTGAACACCAAAGAGGATTTCATAGAAAAATAAATAGCCATCAGTAGAACATGCTCAATCTTTGCCTTAAACTTTTTTCGGAAAAGAAGTTTGGGCAACATGCTCAAAAAAACCTTGACCTTTCCAAAAAACTATATTTAGGTTTGTAGTAAACACTGATGAGTAAAACTGAATCAAAACAGTTGACCTCTCCCCCAACTGAATTGCAATACTTTCGGAGATACTCCAACCACAACAAAAACTCGAAAGATACATAAACATCAAAGCAAAGCTGAAATAAACTGGCTTACCAACGGCGCTTTCACCCAAAAGTACAAGCTTGAACTGGCAGGTCTTATTTGCGCCACCAGCGCGAGGAGCAGGAGTGGACCGGTTTGCCATACCACTGGAAAAGTTAATAATTATGATGAAAGAGTAATGACAAATGTTGAAAAAAGAAGAATCTCTCCAAGGTAAAAAGCTGAGAGATTACTCGTCCGAGCCGAGTGAAAATATGATTCTAAGAGTTGCACCTTCGCAATCAATCAGGAAAATGGCTATTTCAATTACAGAACAAAGCTCAGAGACCCTCGACCAGGGATGACACAAAAATCGAGCTCAATTTCATTGCGTATGCGCGACAGTCACCGACTCATCTGAGTATCGATCGCTTCACGCACTTATTTTCATGCAATTCTATGCAGGATTCACAATTTTAGCACATTAGCCTTGTGGCGTGAAATTCTTCAGTTGGGCGTTTTGTTTGCCCACATGGTTTTGTTGCTTATATTGTCCGGGTCTCTATTATATCTCAATTTCGTCAGTGCTGTAGAGATCCCTCCTAAACAGTCACATCTGTTGGCTTGGGAGCGATTAGCTGTTTTAACTTATTTTGGTCTTTTTCGAGGTGGTTGCAGTAAGAGCTTTCGCATAAAGCTATACCTGAAAGAAAAGTTCAGCCTTGGCGATTGCTTTCTAGCTCTGCATCGTAATTTTTCAGTTTATAAGAGTGATTCGCTTTGGGACAAGCTTCAATCCTCTACGTTCTTACAATCTTGTGGCTATATGAATCCGACTTTGAATAAATCAACAGACCAACGCATGTAATCCCTCCCTTGAGTCGTGAATATAGAAATGTACTCTGTATAAACTTGAGTACACCTAGTGTTAAACAGAAGCTAGGTCCTGAGTGAGGGACTGCTGCACTCCTTAATTTGCTGAGTTTTGGGTAAGGAAAAAGCATCAGCTTTCGATCAGAACGCTGTTGGATGTGTCATTATAAGGGGCATTCAATATAAAAGGTAAAGAATATCAGATGGTTACCATTAAAATGGTTTCTATTTTCAATTTATCTTTTCCCTTTGGGTCAATTCACCTCTGTCACTAATTTTTCTGAACTCTATTAGCGGGTGCGTTTGCAAGGGCTCTGGAAAGCTGTTATCTACGTCCTAGATCTGTTACGAGAGGCTCTGCTTCCCTCCAGTTGTGGATGACGCTGGGTTCAATATAGGTCGAAGGCTTGGGTGAGCGAATTCTCTATGCATACGGTTTTATTTTATATATTTCCCTTAGTTTTTACTCTGCATTTTATTGTTACTTATGTTACTGATTTCTATTTCTTTTTATTTTTTCAAATATCTAGTTTTGGCTTTTTACATCCAGCGCATGTACGTCTGCACAAAATCTTGCCTTAGAAATCGCCAACACTTGAGTATATTGTAGAATCTTGCCTAATTCACTGCAACCGCCTTAGGGAAGGTATTGCCCTGCCCAAACATCGTCGGAATATGGAAAGAGAAACGGCAGGCGGAGCCTAATCACCTTTCCAATTATGCCCATATTTTGAAGAGGCGTAAAACCATGTTTGGGGAAGGAATTGTGAAAGCTCACTACTTCATTTGTGCTCTGAGGTCCTCCTATCTTAAGAGGCGGGATGGATCACTTTTACCTTCAAGAAGAAAATCCAATTTGGTGATTTTCCTGTACGCCGAAAATCATGTTCCGATTCATATTAATCGTTAGTTAGGTGAAATAACCCGAAGTAAGCATGTTCTTTGAGATTCGTGAGAAGTCCATCTCATTCGGCATACAGGAAGATCCATTTTTCTTAACTATCGCGAGAAAAAGTGAAGACATCAGAATTAAATCGCTCCTAAGGAACGCTCGGTATTGGTTTCCAAAGAACAACTCACAAAACTGGGCCATGCCAAACTTGTCTGCCACCAATCTTTGGGTGTAGTTTTAAGCGACAGTGCTGGAAATGGGATGGGGTGTATGCTGTGTATCTACCTTTCTGACGATAACTTCTTCTGTATTTATCTTCTAGTGGTGAAATACCTGCTAAGTTAATCGAATTGGACATGATGCTGAGGCACGGGCTTTCCGAATTCCCTTTTTCCTGGAATTCATGAATGGTTTCTGCCTCCCAATTCATTTCTGTAAGCTGCCTCACATTAACATAAGCCATGAACATCCATCACTACGCGTTATAGGTTTATAATTACTATCTCTTACGTCAGTTCTCTTTATGTGATGGCATTCGCGCTTGTTTTCTTCTTGAATCCGTGTCGAGTTTCTTGATTTACCTTCATAACTCTGCCTAATTTCGCGTTTCATTCACTGTCACAGTAGATTTGAATGGAGGGTGAACATGATGCATTTAACTTCAACCCTAGGACGAAGTTTTCATCTTTCATGAGAAGTTTTTCCCTGTCTCATCCAGAAGAGTAACCAGTATTACTTGAGATCTTAAGCATGTTAACAATCTTAAAATGATCGACTCGCCCCTGAAAGCATATGCAGACGGAATGTACCGTTTAATGTGAGCGGACTTTAGTCTTCTGACCTAAAGCTCCCATGCGAATCTCTTGCTACATTCCCATTTGTTTCGTTTGTTAATGCCTAGATTGTAACAGTTGTTCGTGCTTGGTTATTAACAGCGGTGAAGGGAAAAAGGCCAAAATCCTCGAAAAGGTATCATTTTCAATTCTTGGTATTGACCACCATTAAAGAAATATACTTCTGCTAACATAAAGGGGAAAGGTGGGAAAGCCATTACGTTTTCCATCTGTTCAATCTCTGCTGGATAACAGCGGACAATGGAAACTAGAGAAAGGATGGTAAGATGTTGAAGAAGGGAGATTTGAAATCCGAAATGAATTCTGAACCCGATTTTGTAAAGGTAAAGTTGCGATAAAACGCTATTGGGGTGATTCTCCCCTTCCCCCCAGCGGGCATTATGCATATGGCCCAATAGCAGCTTCAACAATCTTGAACAAAAAGTGTGTTGCAAAGAGTTTCGGGTCAAAGGCATGTAGAAACCCCCTATCAAAGCGAGCCTTTTGATGTGTAGGTTTACTTGGTTACTTGAGGGAAATGTAGCCCTCAATTATATAGTAGGGATTCATTTCTGTACAATTAAGTTCTGAAGAAGGCAGTCGGAAAAAGAGCGAAGTATCCATGATCGACCGTAATCTATATTCCCTAACCAGGAAAAGTGCTTTGAAAAGAACCTCTTTCAATGATCGCTGATATTTTATATTCCCAAAAGGTGCTGGTGCTTTCTAAAAGGGCCTTGGAAGCAGGCACGTCCTTGGCGCAACAACTTTCTTTAAAAAAAACTCTGCAGAAAGAGCATATATGGCTACTCTCAAAATGGGCTTTAGTGAAAGCACCTCCATCGACTGATATGGAAGGGCTGGAGTCGTTACGCTCAACTCAATATTTAACTTGCCAGTATTCTTCAAGGGCACAGTTCACGATAAAAATGATTTACGAGATTCCCTCAAGGATGGACTCGAGGCCCCGCGTATACCATATCAGGCACTATTAGGTCGGAAAACGGCCTAGTTAGGGAGTTGTAAAGGCTCAGAGATTGGCCCGTGTGTATCCTCGACGAGTTTCACCGGCATTGTAAAGACTGCACCGATCCCAAGGGAACCCATGAAGGAAGTTCAAATAACTTGTCATGACCCATAGCGACAGTGAAAGACAGTTCTGTACACTTTGACTTGATATAGTCAGCTCTTTGTGCAATTGCAATTGAAATCTCATCCGAATATCCCAGCCATGTTATTCCTGTCATGGCGATCTCGTCCAACCTCTATTTTTCCTACCTTTGAGGAGCCGTATTTTTCTCGAAATCGGCGAATTCTTTCGCTTTCTTCACTACCGATGAACTATTCCCAACCTAAACTTCCGCTTTTCGAATAAAAAGGGGTACCTCAAATTTATCGTGCACTGTGCCTTTAAAAATGGTCTTATCCGGCACAGCATGGGATTGTTACCGTAGACAGTCAGGTAGTCGTTCTGCATTCCAACGTCAAAATAAAAGCCGTTTCGCTTGTTCTCGCTCGTTTCTGTGGTTCACTTTTCGGCCTTATTTGCCTTTTACGGCTCGGATGGCGCAAATACTCTTGAGTGGTCATGTTGGCTGAAAACCACTTCCAGTAGCCATTTTTTTGCGAAATCCAACTCTGGGGTCAGATTCAAGAGGAATACAGCGCAAGCTTAGAAGAGTGGGAATCGAAAAGGAGAGTACTGAAGTTTCATCGATTCTCCTTGATAGCTTTCTAACCATAAGAAACATTTATTTCATTGACACTGTTCAAAAGATTCCTCAAAAAGTTCAATTCCAACCATAAAGGGAAACCTTTGCCTTGGTGGTTATCTGTCTGAGGTAGAGCGCCGCTTATTGTCGGTTCAAAAAATTACTGCTGTGCCACGAATGACATCCATTTCATGTCGATCGAATGAATGAATGAATGGCAGGTTCAGAACAGGATGGAAGCAAACCTTGCTTTCATCTGAAAAGATTGTTTTTTCAACTTGAAAACATTAGTTTATAGCTCGTTAGGGCTGTCGGTGATACTTTTTTATGGTTGCATGACTTCTTATCAACCATGCAGTTCTTTATTCGTTCGCATAATGCTCTTGCAGACGATGCCGACCGACCTTCGCAAAGTATTAAAAAACGTTCCGTCCCATGGTTCTATTTGAACTTAGGAATCTGTTTATTTCTCGTTCGTAGCCGAAATTGCTTTCAGCTTTCAATCTTGCTCTTTTCTGAGTCTCTTGGGACAGGAATTTATTGCGATATCTTTTCTAGTATCCAATAAAGTCTAAAAGGATAAAGTCTCGGGGCATTGATCAATCCTGTCTGAGGGATGCCCACGCATTCGACTTCTATTCAGAATCGTGGGGCGTATTGAGTGCATGTTTGGCATATACAATGACTTGCGGTTGCCAGCCGATGTACAAGTCAGGGATTTTACCCTCCCAGACGAGTCTGATACCAATTAACCGACCCTGGAGGGATGAAAGGCTTGGTTGGACCTAGGTAGATATTGATCCGGGATTTGAACCCGTGACCAAGCGTGTGCGAAGTGCACCATTTCCCACTA